ACTTGGAACTTACTGTTGCCAATTGCATACGACGGCGGTGGCGGCGATCGGTGCGGCGCGCACGCCAATTTCGTAAAATGCAATTCACCTTTTTTCAGTAATGAAATGATATTTCTCTCTCTTCCTACGAACAATTTCCGGTATTTTGATAATGCAACACATTTACCAATAACGTTGTTATAAATATGGACGGGGTCGGTTTTTTATGTGTGCATCGGTTTAAACCGGTATTTCTGTGCAGTCATTCAAGGCGTTTATGCTCGGAAATGCGGCGAGAATCAAGAATAAATAATTCTTTTAGAGTTTTTTCTTCTTTCTCTCTCTTTTCATTTTCATTCGGCGTACACCATAAGCTGAATTCAAATCGATGCAGCCGTGCATTTTCCACGGGTCACAAGATGCCTATTTCATTTCGTTTGCTTCAACTATCTTCGCTTCAATGGGGTCCTGCAATAATGAACGAATTCCGCATTATTCTAAAGCGATTTTGCTTAAAGATCGATTATTATTTAAAAAAAACTAATAATTCAATTACGATCCAGTGTTTGGTTTCAGTTCACAAGAAAATTCGACTCTTTCTTCGATGCATTCATCATGCGTTATTGTTTTGTTTTCTCTCCTCTATATGCATCTGATTCACCGCATTACCTTAAACATTAGATGCATTCGATTTCCCCGAAGTTTTTTTTCTCTATCTTCGGCTGCTGTTACAGAAGCTCTTCATCAAATGCAACGAGAATTGCAAGCAAACAAAAGAGGGAATAGAACGATACAAAGAAATATAAAAAAACACACAAAAATGCATCGTTTAACATTTTAAATATATATCTTTCATTTCATTTGTTGCTGCGATGCCAAGAGAACTCAATGCAATTTTCAGCGCAACCCAAGAAAGAAATACAATTCAACAAATAAAATACTACACGGAACGGAAGAAAAAAGTCGTGAACAAAAGAGAGCCACACATATTTTCACAATACTTTTTATAACACAAATGTCGGCATGCACAAACTACAACATAGCAGACGACGACGACTACGGCCGACACCGTCTCCTTTAAATCGAACCGAACGAATACACCGAGAACTGAAAAGAAACAGAGACGGGACTTGAAAGAAATGTTTTAAAAAAACTACAACAACATGCTCGAGAACGAACATGTATTTAAACGTTTTAAATCAATTCAATTCTTCTAATTGCTCTGCGAGTACGAGTGCACAGATTGAACTTTTAATTTTTTTTTTCTCCTTTCGTTCCCGTTCTTTACATTTCTATTCATCGTCGCGTCTTTTTTTCTCCTTATCGCATTAATTCAGTGAGTGAAAGAGACGCGTCTGCCAACCATTCATTCTCCACACTCACTGAATAATTTTCTTACAATATCGACACTTCATTTTCTTCAACAACTTGAAATTTACAATAATAATCGTTTGAACACTCAACACCACATTCAGCGCAGAGAATGCAATCCAATAAACTTCCCACAAAGACTTTTTGGCTCGACCGTAGTCATCGTCGTCGTTGTCGTTGTCGTGTTCTTCTCACCATCGTTGGGATCCCATGCGATCGACCAACCCAGGAAAAAAACCATTTTCATTTTGAGTAATTTAGTGAATTGTCGCCTCTATTCACATTTTCAAATGATTCAAAACAATTACTTTGGAAAATTGTCGTATTTTTTCGGTCCCTTCAACTCTGTTCGTTTCTCAACCAGTTCAATTTATTATTTGTACCCATTTTCCATAAGCAAATGAGAGAGAGAGAGAGAGAGAGAGAGAATGAAGACACATTGAGAAACCAAAGAGCATCAACATCATCATCATCAACAGACACACAAACCCAGACACAGAGAAGAAGAAAGAGACAGAGGGAAACAAACTTTAACTCTTGCATCTCCCCATAAATTTTGATATATACTTTTGTTGGTAAACACATAAATCTTGTAGCAGCATTCCGATGCCGGGTGTCGTTTCTCCACTATTTTTGGATTGCAATGAAAAGAATTGCTGTGATAATGCCAACAATTCAGGCTTTAAAAATTTAAATTGAAGCACATAAATGTGAAAGAAATACAATATGAAGCACAGAAAAAAAAACCATACACACCGACGACGACAACGACGAGTATAAATACACGTACGAATGCCGACCAACATAAAAATCACTCCGATACACACAATTTTTTTTTCTGAATGCATAAAATATAGAAAGAGTGCACATTATGGTGTGCACATTCTGTTTCGTTTTTTTTATCATCTTCTACATGTATTCGGTTTTCGGAATAGATTTTGTGCACAGGATTTTCAGACTTTGGATTTGTTGTCTGCAGCACCATAGCAGCGGCAGCAAAACTGCAAAGGACTTTACCGTCTGTTCTCATTGTGCAGACACACATGCACACAAACATGTGTGTGAGTTAAACAGTTTTTTTTTCTCATTTTCTTCTCTTGGCAATTTTTGTTTGTTGTGAGTGTAGCTCTTCCCTGTTTAGCATTTAATTTGTAGCTTCCTTCATGATGCGGTAATAGGTTCTCATTGTATGTGCCTTGTTTGCACAGCTCTTTCTTTCCACAGTGTTTGTGTATTCCTCTCGGTGGTCGCATTGATTCGTAACTGTATTTTATGCACACATAAAGTGTGCGATGTCTGGTTTCGTTCCTTTTTCCAATGTTCTGCCGAGCTCACGATGGCGAAATTCAAAGGCAAACAACACTATCACTCTGGCTCATATAGGACAAAAAGAGAATGAAGAGCAAAAACAAAAGTGAAAAAGAGATTGTGCCAAGCAAGCAACGAATTTGAATATTTCATCTCGGAGTTAATGGTATTTTTTTCCCTCAATTTCTGAGCAGAATTTCTTTGCTTGCTGAACCACTGCAATCGACCCATAACGTTGGTCGAACCCGAGAATCCGCATTTTGGTTTTAATTGATCGATGTCTGACAGATATGTTTTTTGGCTATTTTTCCGCAAAAGAAGCAACGATGCGGTTCACCTTTTCATGAACCATTGCGCACCTTCGCCATATGAATCGAACATCCGGCTACAAATGAATCGGAAATTTTTTATAGCAGATTGCGAACGTCAATGTTTCGAGTGTTTTATGTTATTTTCCTGACGTGGTTCCTATACATTGCTTGGCTGTTTGTATTTTTTTCTTCTTTCGTTCTCTGCAGGACTATTCAACGTGCCATACCGTTTCCGGCGTTTTGCTAGCAGCAGTCCTAAAAATAAAATGCCCTGCTCTCGCTCTCGTTCTATCCCGTTCTCACCATTGGTGTGCGTTTCGTTTGAATTTTTGCTTTTGGGACTTTTCGCTGCTGTTCAAAGTTTCAAAAGCCAACTGGCTGCTTGGCACAACACACGATACTCACCACATCGACTCTACTCAACCATCGGATAAACATTTTCCGATTTTCAAATTGATTTATAATTACTTTAAAAGTTTGGTTTTAATATCGATCGCGCGATGAGACTGCAAACGGTTGCTGGTAATGCGCTATTGCCAATTCGATTGTGTGCCCCAAAATGAATGCAAAATCAACCACAGCGGCTGCAATAACACAAACAACATCAAGCAAACGAGAGACAAAGAGAGAGAAAAACCGAATGTGCATTCCTTCAGAATGCCTTTATTGTCCTTTAATGGCTTCTCGCTGACGTGATTGAATTTATAATCGTATTTAAAATCAACTCAAATACCCAAATGAAAACACTTTCAATTGCCGGCTGCTCGTTTTTTTCTCTTCTGTTTGTTGCTCTGCGCTGGTCATTTTTCAGCTTGTTCTTTTTTTGTACGTGGTAAATGTGTCAATTCATTTATTGAAATTAAAATTCCTGCATTTGAAATGCGTGAAGAAGTGCCAACACATGGTTAGATATAAAAAAAATCGAAGGGAATTTAAACCACGGAACACACATGAGAAATTTGAATTAAAAATAAAGTGAACTTGAAACGTTTGGTGAATAAAAAAAAACCACAACATCGGTGACTCATTATCTCATTTAAATGAAATATAAAACAAACACCATTTACATTTGCATTTTATCCAACATTCACCTCGAACAACCGTGTTCAGACAGTTTTTGTGTCTCTCTCTCTCTCTGTGTGTGTGTCTGTTGAAAATACAATAATAAAGCAACAAAACGAATTGACATAATCCGTTGAAAAGAATGAACAATGCGAATTATAAAATTAAATGCAATAAAACCATTATAACGCACCAGAAAGGCCTTTGTTCACGACACATTTATTCAATGCTTCTTTTTTTTTATCTGAACACAAACTAAAAGAGTAACAGAAAAAGTTGAAAGTATATAAATAATAATAAAATGTTTTGTACAGTTTGTTGTCGGACTTTAAACTCGAAGCGATGGCATGTATGCAACCGCGTTGTTGCTTCAAAACAAAGTTAATTGATTTTTATTTATCATTTGCTCTTTTCCTTCATTAACAACGGTTTAGCCTGATGCAAAAATCAGTCAGAATGCTCATTTCACCGATAGCAATTCAAAGTGTATGTGTGTAATCGATGCCGATTGTGTTTCGGTCATGCGATTCCCGTCAAAGTGGTTGTGCATAAGTTATTTTATTTGTTGTAGTTAATTTGCTGTTCGTGCTCGTTTAATAATATGTCAATGTACTGATAAAACATGATATCAATGCAAGCGTTGACTACGTAAAATGTGTTCACTTCTTCTTTTTTTTCTGTGTCAAGCTCTCGCTCTCTCTCAATAAATTACAGCTGATAAAGAATATCAAACAGAAGAAGATTGTTTTTTTTCTCCTTCTTCTTCTTCTTTACTTTGCTCATAATAACAATCACAAGAAGACTATAAAAACGATGCGATAAAGCGTTTTCGAAAGTAAAATTTATCATTTTTACTTTTCTTGTCGCTGTTTTGTTTGTTTTCTTCTTCTTCTTCTTCTTCTTCGTTCATTGCAAATGTCTCGTGGAAAATGTTATTAATTTTTATTTTTATTTTGTGTCTATTTGCAGCTAGTTATGTCGTCAGCGTTAGCAACGCTTCTGGAAGCGGCTCGATTCATTGAGCTACAGGAACAACGTGAACGTTTAACGTCAACGTCTTCAACAGCCTCATCGCTTTCAACGTCTCCGCACAGCAATAGTCGGTACCAATTCCAAACAAATTTTGCAAGCCATCAATCGTTGGTTACAACGCCACCAGCATCACCGCTTTCTGATATCCCAAGAAGTCATATCGACTACATCAGCTCCAATGGCACAACCATTACACGGAATGGTAAGTGTTAGTCATTTGTTTTCTTTCTCTGTTGTCATCGCAGTTTTCTTTTGACCAAATCGTTTCCCCGTTGGGAATGGATTTTAGGCCAAAGCAAAAATACATTGCATATTCGAACAAAGTGCTTTGCTATGTGTGGTCTAAAATTGCCAAAAGTCGGCATGACAAAAAAAAATGGGTGCGTTTAACACACCATCATGTTGACACCTCAATGTCATATCGTTTGCATTTAGTTATATGTTTCATGTGAATCCAATGCCGATACTACAATAATTACGATTCATCGTCCGAATCGGTATATCTTCATAATATCATACACCACTCAAATTCAGAGATACTAGCTAAATGCACGCTTATGTTCACAATTTGTTGTCATACGCGTGGAATGGCTCTAACATTTTCATTTTTGTTTTATTCTATTGCAAAATTCAGTCTTATCACATTATATAAATTCAGTGCTCTCATCTTTATCTTTCGGTTGTTCAACATTGATCCAATATATATATCTTGGATTACGAAAGAAACAAAATCGTCATCAATATTCTGGTCGTCGACGGAATTTATTGATTTAGTAAATAATCGGAATCCATTTGCGGGCGAAATGAGTTTGGTTTTAGATCAAGAATAGCGACCCTTCAAGACATCGAGCAAATAAAATAATCGAGACCAAAGAAAAGAAAAGAAAATATTATATTTCAATATTAAACGCGATATCATGCGAATCAACGAACGAACCGAACCAATGAATAAAGGAAGGAAAACGTATTGAAGCCCATTTGATTCGAATGAAGAGGGAAAAAAAATAAAATCTCGAATTTCTTGTTTGTACGTGTTTCTCATGTGCACGGTTCTGCCAAGTCGATTCCACACACTCGACTTGATTCAGCACCAATTCAACAATAACAGCGGCAACAACAGCGGCAACAACAACAAAAATTGAATAGCCGCAGTATACTCGACGTGGGTATTTATTACATAAAAGCAGTGTAAATGCAAAATAAGGAACAAAAGACGCAAATCGTCAACGAGAAGAGAGAAAAAAAACAAGTGTCTTCTATTTATAAACTCTTACAAGACAAGTATATGTGCATTGTGTGACACATACTAATACAACCACTCTGATTCGTCTCAAACAGGAGCATTGGATTTCTGCAGTTGTTGACTCTTCGTTTGATTTCTTGTTCGTTGTCGTCGTTGTTATTTTCCGTGCTATGAGAAATACACACAATTGCATAGGCAATCTTCTTAAATGCCCTTTAAACAAAATCTCGTGCACACACACATACACACACACACATGCATTAGTATATATGCACAACGTGTGGATCTCTTTGCGTTTTTTTTTTCGTGCCATAACGTATTTCTCTGTACTTGAAAATCTAAGCGAGTCTGACACGCAATCATGTGTCTGTCTTATATGCAACTCGTATTGGGTTTGTCGGTGTATTGGTGAACGCATTGCTCGCGTCAAACCACCAACGCATCTTCATCGTTCTCTCTTTTCACTGTAACGTGCTAATCGCATTGCAGACGAACGGCAATCGAACAACCGTCCAGAACCACATGATACACACACTCAACACTGTTGTTTTTTTTTTGCGCATGTGTTGTAAGCATGAGTCAATGCGGCCACCGCTATTCGTCTCACTCGCACCCGCCCCGACGTACACCAACACCAACGCACCGAAATGAATCATGCAGACAACCGGTCACGTAAACAATACAGCCGTGCTATGCATACGGTTTTATATGCAAATAACGTGATGCGAAGCGTCGGTGTTGTCACACGAATCGATCGCCACATTCGGCAACACCATGTGACTGAAACGAAAGAAAATCGCTTGTGGCAATCGAATCAAATCAGTCGATCTCACTCTCTTCACTCGGTCGGATTCGATGACGGTCGTGTATTTGTTGGAATCGAACAAATATTCCTCTTTCACAATTTCCATCGTACACGGTGCTGTATTTGGTATTGGTGCGTCTCTTATATACTCATTCTGTTTTGTGTTTTCGTTCACATGTTACGGATCTCGCTCTTTCGCAGAGTCACGCTGTTTGTCTCACTTCTTATGGCGCACGCTATTCATCTCGCTTCTTTTGTGTGTGTTGTGGCTTTCTCTCTTCCGCGCCTAGTGCCAGTATATAAGCACAAGCGCGCACGATGAATACAATCAACCGTACGCACATGTACAATGTGCTGTTTGTATATATACATGTATTTGTATATACACATCTTTTTTTAGCCACGTGTTGGCTTGCGCAGTTGCCACATTTTTATGCGATGAGCATGTAGTCGACCGACGACGATGTCATACGATTCATCGTTGTAAACGTAGCGCTCGTTCGATGCGATCACCTCAGATTACATGAGTTTCGTGTTACTTCTTTCTTATTTACTCAATCTTCTACACATTACATTCTACGTAGTATGAACGCGCAGCGGGCACACACACACACACACGGGCAAGCAAACAAACAAACACATTTCAATGCGCGTTTTATGTACTTTCTCGTTTTGCGTCGTTTTGTGCACTGATTCTTTCTCATGTTATACGTTATAATTCTCTCGCTTCATTTTATGTTCATGCTTATCATGTCAATGAACTAGAGTTCGCTGTAAAATCAAAATTTTGCACAAATCAGCATACAACTTCATAATCATTGTGACTTCGACATGAACAGCAATTGAAATAATTTACACATGACACAGAAATAAAAAAGCCCTCACACAGAGAGCGAAGGGAAAAAAACACACGACACGAACGAAATATATGACGTTTACTTAAATTTCATCGTGCAGTCGATGCGAATTTTGCGAAAATTGCAAAACCAACGCAGAAACCGGAATATTTCGTAGAATATACGACACACGAAAAAAAACCCTACTGCTCAGTTTGAAACGGATATTTCGTAAAAAAAAACGACAGCGACAACGATGACGACGACGATGAAGAAAAACATCATGAACAGTTTCCAATGAGAGTGCCATCTCTCAAGTGTATATGATTCCATTTGGATTTATTTTTTTATGGAAAAAGACACTTTTCTTAACGACTTTAAGTCTCGGAAGAGATTTTTATCGCAAAAACCAATCACGGAAGCAAACTGCTTCTGGTAGCTCAAGAGAGAAATTATATATATACTCACAACGATTTGGTGACATTTTTTTTTTATCGAACATCTTGCTTTAATTCAATCATTCGGTTCGAATTTCATTGAAAAATGTAAAATTTTTGCAAAATATTCGAAATTCTTTGACGTTTTTGGTTATATTCTAACTTGCAATACAATTCCTACAAGGAAATGTCGAATATTTCTCATTTTCCCGTTGAGGTTGTTTGCTGTTAGCAATTGGAGTGAATTGAACCTTTGCTTTCTCTGCCAAAAGTGTGCAACCTTTGTACCTAGCTTTGTACATCGTCAGGTTCGATATTCTACATATAGAAATTCTTAAAAATATTCTTTGAATAAATAAATGTATTTGAAGACTTTCAATGAAAATTACTTTTTTTTACCTGCCACCGAATGCTTTTGATTAGATTTTGAACCATAGTTCATAGTCGTCAACACAAAAAGTGGTTGAACGATGCCTAACATAACAGTTCCAATGAATCAGTTGATTGAATGAGGATGTTGAGAATTCAATAGCTAAGAATGAACTCTTGGCAGGAAGCAATACATTTTCCTCGTGTATTGAATCCCAAGATTTCCATGGGAACGATAGTTGACGAAAGAAGTTTAAAGCAATCGAAATATATAAAACAAAAATCTCCAATTAGGAGATATTATTCAAATCCGTGGATGGAACGAATCGATATATGCATGTATATGATTATGTGTCTAGCGATATACGTGATATTGGCTAGAGACCACAAAAATCAATTGGACCACTCACATTTTACAGCCATTGTTGCCGTACCAATATATCGATTCGATTGGAGAATTGTTGCACATGTTTGGTGTTCATCGTCTGGGTCAGCATAACTACTGCAATGCACGTGACCGCGTGCAGTGTGGTGTCTTGAATAATGCATCAACCGTGCAATTGTGCTCACTCCAATTCAAAAGTCCAAATATTGCCAAATTACGATATTTTTCGATGTAATAAATGCAACTTTCGGCAAACCGATCGATTACACTGGAATTGTCAACAACAACAGCGCTGAATGAAATGAAATGTCAAAATTACTGAAATTTGCTGCCAATTTTTTTTCTTCACAATACACAGTGCTGCTTCAATACTCGAAACATCAAAAATTTGCTCAACATGTCATGAAAAAGGTGGTTTTTGAAAAACCACAAACCACGTGTATATTTTGATGCTAATTCATTTGTTTTATTGAGGTGATCAGCAATTTATTTCCTTTCATGTGTCGCATGAAAGTGTCAAACACATGCAACACGATTTTCAGAGGTCATTAATTCGAAACGTAAATTCAATTGGAATTGAGTTGGAACCATTGGCGCGTTGCTTGACCGAAACCTAAATTTACGCAACATATTGCGCGAAAAAAATACTATAAACTCGAAGTGCTTGAAAGTTCGAGTGTGGCCATAAAAAGCTTTTTTGGGGTGTTCGTAGAAACCCTCTTCGTTGAAGCAGTTCAAGGAGTGTTTAAGTCGTCCATTATTCATTAATTGGAAAGGTCACGAACTGGCACGAGAAAAAAAATTCGCCTTAATGAATGAAAACCAACTCTCCTATTCACTTTGAATTTGACAACTGATATTGAGCGCAAACACCACCTAGATAATCTAAGGCTAACGAAAATACAATCAAGTAAACTCTCCGTTCTGTCAAACGTCATACTGAAGTATAACATACAGACATCACGAACTCGCCATAGGTTCTTTAGATGGCGCTTCGGTCAACTGAGTTCCAACCAAATACATGTATCAGTATACGAAGCATTCCACTGTTGATGAAAACCGACAATTTTCTTAACACACACACAGTTTGCCTTCACCGCCGTTTTCCTTATTCACAGCTCACTTTTGAGTTTTTGAGCATGAAGAAAAAAGGTCAACGTATTTTTTTAGCGTAAATTCGTATAGTATTTGAAACGAGCACAATTATTGAAGCAATTGATTCTGCTACGAGTTGTAGCCCTAAGAAAACTGTTGCGCAAAGGCGTGGGTAGCACACAAAACACAGACACACATTCATCATTCGATCACGTTTTGCAGCTGGAAATTGGGAACGTATAACAAAGGCACACATACAAATGGAGAGTGAAGGAAAGAGCGAGAAATAAAGAATGAACATGTACAGGGGAATATGACAATGAAAACAATATATCGAACGAGCTTAGCTGATAAGCGTACTGTTTGAGACGTGTTGGCGAGCATACCATAATTCAGTCTGCTTGTGTCGTTTTGCAGGTAAACACGCCAAATTCTTTACCTCTTTCGCGATCCTCGTTCATCCTTTGAACTTTTTTCGACAAAGTTTTCAACATTCGAAATACCATCCCACACCTTGACAAAAGAAATACCTGGATCAATCAGCAGCGTTCATCGCAAGATTTTAAGGGCGATTCAAATCCAAAAAAAAAATAGAAACATTTTTTGGAAATAAAAAACGATACATTTTTTTAAAAGTTTCACAAGTTTTGTATTGCGAGTTATATGTTTCTTTGGTGAATTCACATAATCAAATATCATCGAATCACATTTCTGCGTAGATATTTCGTCTAATTATTCTGTTGTCAACTGAAGAAATAACTGCCATATTTTTTTTGCATTCAACGCGTACAAGTATCGATATGCTCAAACAATAAAATTCCTATTATTTTGTACAAATAAAACGAAACTCGAGAAGGAAAACGAAGGAAAAAAAAACAGTAGCAGCCATGATGCATATGGGGAATGAGTGGTATTGGAATTTGAACTTGCATCGCAACCAATCGGCGCTGAATAATTCGATGGTTATAAATAGTACAAAGTTGCCGATATCATCGACAATGTATACAAGTGCCGTGCTAACTGATCGAGGTATTTGTGTTGGAATGCGTAATGTGAATTTAAAGGGTGTAACTCAATCGTATTCGGCGAAAATGCAAAGCATTCCAAATTGCTGTAGCAATTCAAATGTGGTTGGCCAACGAAATAACCAAACATGGACAGCTGCCTACGATCAAATGCGCTTTTCTGCCCTAACTGATCCATCGATGGCAACGCAAATCGAATGCCAACACTTTGCCGATCATTCATATCCACCAATTAGTGATAAATGGAGAGAACAAGTGATACTCCCTGTGGAGCAGGAGGAGGAGGAGGAGAAGAAGGAGGAGGAGGAAACAGTGAACGAAGAACCGCATACATCATCCATAAGTGCTGAGTTCAATCCATCCATAAGTGCTGAGTTCAATCCGTTTCATTTGTTCGGCGATAAATCGGTATTGTCCGCCATCAATGTGAAAAATAGGCTAAGCCCAGAGTTGTTGCAATCATACTTGGCCGCAAACGTTAGAGAACATTCAAATAGTGAAATGCCACCACTCGAACATGTTCCATATATGGATTACCGTTATTTAATCGAAAACGATGCAATTTACAACCACATTGGATATCCTGGTTTACTTCATGCTACGACCAAACCTACATTGTCTCCATCGAATTCACCGATATCACATTTGCCGAGAAGCAGCAGCAGGCTGAAGGCCGCAATAACGACTCCTCGAAGGAGAATGCATACATACGCTTCTCGTTTAAATCACGTGGTCACACCGAAAAAGAAATGGTTACGAAATTACATGCAAAGTAATTCACATTGTTATGGTTTTCTTTGAATACTATTTTTCTTTCCGTTTTTCACCAATTTCCACACCATCGTTAATTTTTCGTTAAACCATCGTGTTATTTTTCATTCGAATCGAATAGAATATGGGCTTTTGGAAGCAAAACATGTGTCGTCCGAGTAAAATTGGAGGAAAAGAAAAAATATCGCAGAAAAAAATGAATGACACCAACAAAAGTGTCATCCATAAGTAGAATTCTATTTAAAGAAACAAAACAAATTTAGGAAGACCCTGATTGCGCATTATCGAACTTGGTAGAAAGGTTCAAATACGACTTGTTGACAGCTTTACTAAGAATGAAGGAAACAATTATATCAATATCAGATAGTAGTAGGGAAGATGGGCCCTTTTGAATTATATAAATCGTTGTTTGGTCAAGTTGATGTGCCAGCAATAAAAACAATGGAATGTACCAAAAAAAAGTTAGGAAAAAGACGATTCTGCATAAACAGTTCCACATAGGCTGAGTTTGGTATTGCCTTAAAAAAAGAAGAAGAATACTTCGCATTAAATTCGTCTTCTTTTCTGTATTTTATGCAGTTCAAACAGTTTGTTTTCGGCCAATCAAATTCGGCTTTCTCTTTCCGCCTTAAATTGTCATTGGTATGTTTCGATGAGTATACATTGTTTCATCTCGAATTTCTTCACGAAAATTACCAACTTTATAATTGTGAAATGCTTGTGTCGTTGTCAGTGATGATTACCAGCAGAACAATTGTGTAATTAAAAATGAGAAAATACGACGAAAAAAACATGATATTTCACCAATTGTCCCTTGCCAATATAAATAGATTGCGATAATTCTTGACTTTATGTGTAAATTGCCTATTTTTCTATGTGCACGTGGATGAAATGAACACTGAATGTCTGTCTGTCGATTAGAATTTCAAACATATAAATAAATGGAAAATATCGTCTTTTTATTGCGAAAATATTGGCATACTTTTCTGGCTGTATGCGATGTAACCTTCACAAATTGATGTGTCACTGAATTAATTGAAACTTTTCATTGGAAATGAGGCGCTAAGCCATAGTAAACGACGAGACTTGTTTATCTTGTCTCTCTGCGATCATCTCTAATTCGGACTCACGAATTGTATCATCTTCTTGAGACTGGGATTGACAGATATTGAAATTGTGAGTGATTGCACAACCGATCATCGAGCGTCAATGCTATTTGATAATATGTATGTAGTGCAGCTCATGGCTCTACTTACATTTATTAAAACTTCTATTGCATGAGTATATCCAGACACGTGCTCGTCCAATTCGTCTGAATCTACCACCGACACGCTAATTGATTATCGCATTTATATTGTCTCATTATATAAACCGAAAACTCAGTGAAATGAACGACGATCGGTCTGTGTAGACTACGTCCAATTAATGAAAATAGCCGGAGTGAAGGGTTTTCGTAAGAGTTCAGGTGTCAAACCCGCTTCATCACCATATATGACCAACCAAATCCTTTAAATTTTTTGTTAGGTAGTTCCTTCGAGGGAAATTATATCCTCTCAATTTCATTTCGACAAGCAGCAGAAATGCTGTGTTCTTGACACGGGGATACATAGAAAAAAAGCGAATGAAAAACAAACCGAGAGAGAGAGAGAGAATGCGTGTGTAGGAGAGAAAATGAGATTTATCCAACTTGTTATGTATATACAGGCCGCGCCAGTTATTTGTGCACCTGTTATGAAAGTTATTCAAATAGATACTAGTGAGGCTAGAAAATGGTGCCGCGTGCTTCTTGGCTCACGTGGCTCTCAACATGTTTTCCATCGCACTTTCAAATAGATTTATACATTTGGCGGAAAATTAAAGCATAAAATGTAATCAAATGAATTACAAAACCGATTATTACAATTTCCGCTGAGGACAATTACTGCGTCATTCTTATACGAATTGAAATGAATAAATAGCATTATTAGGGAGAAAAAAAGAGGAAATGCCAATGGGGATTCTTTTATTTCTCCAATGAATTGTTTACGACGACGATGACGATAATATCCGCCATTGCCTCTTGCGTAATCAGAGTTGGTAAATTGTTTTTTTTTTCTCCATTCAATTGAATCATGTTGCGTTCGACATTGTTTTTGAATCGTTAAGTGAAAAGGACATTTTGAATAACAACATCTTAAGAGGATTGGGGGAGAGGAATGATAAGGATGTGTATTTTACAGTAGCCCGGAGAGGGAAATACTCAGTGCAAAGCTCAGAAGCTCAGCATTCTTTGGTGGTTTACATCACACTTCATTCGCATTGTATAATTTCTATGGACTCATGCTTTTGATTCACTTCATCTCTTAAAAAGCTCACATTCTAACTTCCATTCATTGTGTTCCGTTCATTTAAGTTAAAATGCAAAATCATAATATCAAAGTATGCTACAAAAAAAAAATCAAAGATTCAAACAAACAAACAAACACTGAATTGAATTCTTTCAGAAGAGCCAATTTCACAGCAACTCGATGACATCAATGCTGAACATGCGAATATATTATCTAATTCAACTGAAAGCATTCTACCACGAAAATATGATCGATTTCACATGTTGCATCAACCGCATCCGATGTTGATGCAACCAGATCATTTACCATTGTCATACAATATGCCAATGTCACCACACGAAAATCCGTTGGTCAAATCAAAATCATTGTCACCACTCGAATCAAAAGCACAGAAAAGACCAAAAGCAAATTACTTTGTTAACGATGCAATGTATTTGGCGCGTAGCCGTAGCACATCTTTAACACTAAAACCAATTACAACAATCAACAATCATGTAATGCAAACAGGTGAAGACTCATCGCAGTCGAGCTTAAATTTGAGCGCATCGAGCGGCTACTTAAGCGGCAGCAGCAGCGCTAACTCCAGCAATTTGAACCTGAGCGGACGCTCATCTTCATCATCCATGTACGTTTATATCTCATTTGATTTATTTGCATCGGATATCGATTCGGGCTCTGTTTTTTTTAAATGAATTTTTTCTCGTTTTTTGTTTTGTTTTCATTGCTAATTTGTTGACATTGATTTTTATTTTTGTGTGCATGTGTTTGCATCTCCGTGTAGGAATGGAACAACACACCATATAACAAATGGTGTGCTGACAATTCATTCAAATGGAAGCCATGTGAATGGGGATAACAATCACGTGTTTTATGAAAAGTCGCCGATAATTAATGGTTACGTGGACAAACGTAACGGCAACAGCTCGAATGGGACGCACCATTTGCAACAATCACCACCGCAAGCTGTACAACAGCAAACTCCCACGACACATGCAACAAATAGTAGGCGCCGTACAATTAGTTCAAATAGCAATGGGTAAGTATGAGGCTAGATATATTCGGTGTCTCGGTTCAAAATACATGTATTAAAGATGTATAATGGTTGGGTTTTTTTTTTGGTTCGTCGTAAACCGTTCATTAATGTCAAATATTGAAAATTTGTTCGACCATAACAAGTGAGCAAACAGGCATACTAGATCCTTTTGGTTGGCCAAAGAAGCACAGAAAAAAAAGAGACAAAAACCATTATGTATCTTGATGCATTTTCATCCTCTCATTATCACCAACACATTTAACATGTAAGATACATTATAAATTGCATGAATAGTGGTACACAACGTAGCGCATCCATTCATAGGGCCGGTACACGTGAAGTACACAACAAATTGGAGAAAAATCGGCGAGCTCACCTCAAAGAATGTTTCGAACAATTGAAGCGCCAACTCCCGCAGATGCAAGAAGAGAAGAAAACATCAAATCTATTGATTCTGTCAAATGCAAGCAAATATATTTCGGTAAGTATTGCGCACAACAATATGCAAATTGAAAAAGAAAATGGAAAAATAATTGGATTCCTCAGAATTCGATGTAATCGGATTATTAATTTAAAAAAAAAAATATTCATTTCACGCTGAATTATAGCAATTGAAGCGAAAGGAAAAAGAGCACGAACAAGAGAGTCAACGTTTGGCCAAAGAGAAGATCGACAAAGAGAAAAAGCTCGACATGTTGCGCCATCAGATGTCCACCCGTTTCGATAATATGCATAGTACAATTCAATTGCCAGACAATGAAGGAAGCAACGGCATTCGGGAAAGAGGTTTGTGTACAATCAATTCATTTCTTCTTCTTCTTCTTTTTTTCCCAATTTACGACTTGAATTTATTCGCTTACATCATTTTCAATGAAAATTTCAAGCGATTTTATCGTTCAAATTGATCTGTAAATGAATTAAAAAAATAGTCTAAATGAAATCGTCGATTTGATTTGTTACAGTGCCATCGGAGTCATTGAGTGAGCATTCTTTGCCGAGTCGTGTCAGATATGGTTCAACAAGCTCACTATCAAGTGCTGCTACTGCATCTTCACCATGCGCAGCTGGTGTTCCTGTAAGTATTCATTTATATTGATTTTTCGATGACTGGAACTTTGGCATTTGTAACACCGTTTTTTCTTTCTTTCTTCCCTCGTGATTCAAACAGTTGCAGTCGGCATCATCAATTTCGCCTGTGATAACGACCAACAGTACAATCCTAAATGCATCGTCGCCGTCACCGAAACGAGCACACTCCTCAAGCCCAATATCGGCGTCCGTAAACATGCATTCAGCCATCACAGGTGAACGTCGTCACCAATTTGAACGAAAAATATCAATTTATTGAAATATTGAAACGAATAATAATAATTGTTGGTGTCGTTTTTCCTTTTCGCCTGTCTGCAGATTCTCCAAAAATCTTACCAAATGGTCTCACTGCCATTTCGAATGGCTTAAAAGCGCACAATACACCGATTGCCATCAATTTATCCACATCTGATGGCATTTCACCGGCGCTACTGAATGCATCAAATGCAGCTGCGGTATTGCCATTGAATTTGATTCACCAGCCAATCACCAACGGTATTGTAAATGGTCAAACGATTCGAACGGCCGTCGCAACAAATGGATTACAAATCATAAGCAACAATACACCAAGTGTAGCAAACGGAAAGAATGGCATCCGCCATCAAGACCACAATTCCAAAGAACAACAAATCAAGAAAACCGAATCGATTTCCACTTCCTCGGAACCACCGACAAAAGTAATTAAGCTGATTAATGGTAATGGTGGCATAACATTGGTCGATAAAGACACCAAACTGGGACAATTGACCCTGTCTCAGGTAGTGGTCAGTCAGATGCTGGCGCCGACTCAAACACTGCGTGTTATTGGGCCAGCACCAAATGGCGTTGCCACCATCGAGTTGAGCAATTCAAACGGTATGTACGATGCAATTGTTGACTTTATAAGCCAATCGAAATTTGTTGAAACAAATTTATGGAATAATGTAAGTTTAACACGTTTGATTTTTATTTGTTTTTCTCTCTGTATCCCTCTCATTCCAAATACAGCCATTAAAGGACGTAATGTCGTCCAAAATCAGCAACATTCTTTGCCGAACGGTACAAATGGAGCTCATTTGCACAAATTGCTAGTGAGTGGTGCATCGACGAACCTAACAACGCCAGTGATTACGTCGACCTTTGGTAATGGCACGATGACAAATGGTACATCCGAACTGGCCCGTTTGCCGGGCGGAGCTGAGCTAAACATACTGCCGCCAAACACAAATGGCACCGCTCTATACCGCAGCAACGGACAGTTAGCGATTATCAAAGGTATTCACTCCTAAATAAAACGAGGTGCATGCAACATTTTTTTTTAAAAAAATTCTTATTCCTCATCTTCGTCTGTCAAACGCACCTATATGCAGACAGACATTCTGAGAAACAAACACGGTTGAAACTAACTCGATTTGATTTTCTTCTTTCAATTGCCGGTTTTACAGGAGCTGAATCAAATCAATCAAATCGAGCAGTTCACATGGTTACACCGTTACAGTCTACAACCACACCGATCGTTATATCGTCACAGGGACAAACCAGCAATAACTTAGCACACATTATTGCCAGCAATCTTTCATTTACATAAGTTGTAAATCAAAACAAACAAACAAACAAACAAAAAAAAGCGAGAGAAAAAGAAACCAACTGCATGGAAAATATTGTAAAATCACTCAACTAACGCAACACACACAAACACACACACACACACACATACACAGTAAGAATGATGCAGATGCAGAGTTAACTAGAGATGATTATTGTCTCTATGCAGAAACAGCTGTATATTGAAGAGAAAATCCCGGCAATTGAAATGTTATTTCGGTGCACGGATAATCGATTTGAGATAATGTACATAGAAAAAAATGTGAACCTTGTGTTTTTTTGCAACAAAATTGAAATATTCACACTTCATGTATGTGCATATATATTCAGGAAAGGAAATGCTGTTTTCTTTCAAATTTCTTGATATTTCTTTTAACACAGAGAATAAGTAAGAAAGGGAAAAAAACAACATAATAAAAAAAAATTGTAAACCAATCTAAAAGTATATATATATCTAAATTACATTATTTAAACAAGATAAAACAAAAAAAAAATAAATGATAAACACAGAGAAAGAAGGCAAATCAATTTATGTGAATAAAACGATTGACATCCAGAATTAAGATCGGATTGAAACGAAAACACACACACAAAACCGAGTAATAAATGATATTGAAAGCGACGTCATTTTGACATCACATTAACAAAACGCATCAGTTCTTCATGCAAAACATATATAGAGAATGCAAATGCAAATGGTGTGACGATTTTAAAATAATTTTTATTCAATTCTTTCTTTCGTTCGTTCAAACGTTCAGAACTCAATACCAGCCATTTGTACCTGAATATTTTGGGAATATTCACAAGAGAAGAAAAACAAAATGGGAGAAGAAAATGAACAAAACGTGTGAATGATGAGCATACAGAATTACATTTAATTGAGTTAAAGCAAAAAAAAATAGGTCAATGTTTCCGAATTTTTCTTCGTCCGCAGTTTTATGTTTGAAATTATTTACAAAACACACACACACAAACTTATATTATATATATACTTTGTCCACGGAGCATTTAGTCGAACGAGATTCAGTTCCAATCAGTTAGTCCAAAGCCAAATTACAATACAAACATTGAGTGTGAAACATTTCATCGATAGATCTCGATTAAACACGAAACCAAAACGAGTAATGATTTCGTTGTACGAACAAAAAACAAAACTCTTCCCGCTCGAAAACAAAACGAAAGAAAAGTAATGAAGAATGGCCCATCGATTGTAAATCGTGGCATTCATTGCAACTTTTTTTTTCTTCTCTCGGATGTATTGCATTTTGAATGACAATAAAAAAAAAATCATGAGAATAACATAAAAACAAACAGAACTGAATTATAACCAATTTGAACGGAACGTTCAGCTAATGTTTACGTTCAAAAGATACTAAAAACAAGGATAAAATGAAACCGATTCGACCCATCGAAAGCGCATAAAAATGCTTTACAAAGCAGCCTCCGCCGTCGCCGCAGCAGTTACTCTAGTTCCGTAGATGCATTTTGTAGTCATTTGATGGGAGCATATACAATCTTCGATATGTGTATTTATAGATGTTTTAAATAGAGCAACAAAAAAACTAGCAACATGACAAAGGAGAGACCTTTATGGAGATGAATCAAATCAAGTAGCCGTTTTTTTTCCTTAATCGCTGTCTATGTAATCAGTAACAAATAAAAGCAGAAAACCAGAAAACCAAAACATATATCAACGATTCATGCAAACGACATGTAGCGCCAATGATCGCAATGCAATTCGTTCATCTCAATGGAATTTATCATTGTTTGTTTGGATGCAAGCGTTTGATATTGAAGATGATGATGCAGCAACCTTAGGCATGTTTTTATTTTTGCGAAATAATGAGACTCTTTCAAAGCATAAAATCAACGTTAGTGATTTCCTTTAGCCCAATGGCCAACAATAAAACAAAATATAACAAAACAGAGTTAACAATAAAGACATATAAAGATAAAAAAAAAACTAATAAGTACTATCCAGAAAATGTGACCCTTCTCATTTGCGCTCCTCATGTTAAACCATGAGTGCACTTCCCAAAAACACAATCAAAGCACTCGCTCGCTCGCAAACAAACACATATGAACGCACTCATACCAAAAACCAGCCGTTTCAAATTTTGTTTAACTTGTCATCGTGATAGAATCGATCTTTCGTTTTTTTTTTGTCTCCGGGGACAATTCAACCATTTCTACTAGAATGCAAAATCAAATTTCGGTTTTCTTTTTTATTTTATTGGAAAAATAAACAAAATTGCCACTGGCACCGCTACTTCCTCAGTGCTTTCGCAAAAGTACGCTCGCGCATATACAAAAGAAAAATAACAAGAACAAGATGAAAAAAAAGAAAAACATTTTTTTATACTAGATCTTCTAGATTGTACTAGATCCAAATAACCGATATTGAGATATAGATAAGGAATTTCTTATCCTATTTATACATGGTTTTTACTGTGCGTACGCACGAACACATAAGAAAATTATACATGAAAAAAAAACGAGAACACTAAACAAGACTTTTAGTTAACATTTTCTGCGTAGAAGATTTGAAAATTGAGAGAAAGAGAGAGAGAGAGAGAGAGAAAAGGAATGATAGTGGAAAAAAGGAGAGAAACGAACAAATTGAATACAAAATATGGGTCGAAATTTGTTGAATTTTTTTATAAAATGAAATGAAATATTGGGATGTGTTTTTTTACTAGAACAAAAGTGAATAATTGATGGTTTCTAAATTAGGCAAATGTATTTTTGACTGAGAAAAAAGAAAAGATATGAGAGATAAGCAGTGATCTTTTTTCGGTTACTCGTTTTGTTTCAATCATTTTTTTTCTAACTTCTGTGAATTTTTTTTTCGTCGGCGAACTAGAAAATTTTTTTTTCGCTTTCAATCCATTGGTCAATGTCACTAATTGTATATATTTTTGTTATTTAACCAAAATTCTTTTCTGTTCCCATTGGACGCTAGTTCGATGGCATATTAAAATTGAAAGAAAATCTGATGAAACGATCTAAAGGGATAATTTTGATGATGTGTGAGAAAGAATAAACGGGGGGAGATTTCTGTAAAATAGCTAAACGAATTCAAATCAAAAGATAACATGTGCAACATCAACCCATTTAAATAACACTACAGTGAATAATTTCTATAATTACAGTTTAAAAGAAAGAAGAAAATAGAACATAGATTTAGAACGATTAACACACACACACACACACAAAACAAAGCTAAATCTGAAAATGAGTGGATGAGGACACTGATGCTTATACCCTGATCCCATGCAAAAACATAATCTGAAAACAGTGAAATCAAATCACCAAAAAAACTTAATAATAATCCATTCAGCTAAACACATGTGCAACGCTCATAAGCGTGCTTGTGAAGAATTGGAGAAAAATCACCAAAAAAACTGATAAAACTGACAGTGAAAAAAAAATCACAAAAATTGATTTACAAAAATAACAATCACACAAAAATTCTGAGAAAAATGTGGATAAAGACTTCATTAAATTATACGTATTATGTTAAAAAAAAATGTCATACACAGTTCTTCATTAACGTTTATTGTAATTGTAAAAAGGTTCAAAACAGTTCATATTTTATATTCTCTGTAATTAAATGTTCTTCTCTTTTTTAAACAAAAAAAAAAAAAAACAAATTGACATCATACATTAAAGCATATATTTTTTCTTTGCTTTTCTCAAGACAATGTAAATTGGGCAATTGTAATTTCAATAATCGCGATTTTGTTTATTTTTTTCTCAACTAGCGCTATTTTGGGATGAATTGAGAATGCAAATGCACGTATCCCTTCCTTCATACACAAAAAGAATCCCACACAAACACACATAAGTTACATGTGACATAACTAATCATATGTTTTTTTTCCTTTGCGTTTTCTTTGTTTTGTAAGACAAATACAAACGAAAGTGAATTTATCGTTTTTAAGTTTAATTTATTCCGTAATTGGTAACGTTTAGAAAACAAATGATGATGATTCATACGTCCAAAGGACAGAAGAAGGAAATGAAGAGATAAACATCAATCAACAATATAAACAAAACACACACACACACACGAAATTACACTCTACTAATCGAAACAAACCAATTCTTATCTTTGAAAAGCAGATAGCTACACAAAAATCTATAATTTCTTTCGTTTTGTTTCAAAAAGATATTGAACTGAATGAAAAAAGAAGTAAAACCAATTTGGAAGAATACACTAATCTACCATTATAAAGGGATTACAAACAAATGAAGTAAGAAAAAAAGTAAGCTATACAAAAAAAAACAACAAAACAACAACATGAATATAGAACCATTTTACACATGTCAATTTTCAAATCTATGCATTTGAAAATGAAACAAATCTAAACGAAGTTAGAACAAAAAACAAAGAAACAACAACAAAAAAATGATTTAGCAAAATATTCTGAATATAAAACAATATTTTGATTATGTCTTGATGTGAACTACTATCAATATATTACTATCTAAACAAAATTTTAATAATGACAAGAAAAAAAACACACGAGAAAATCGATGAAAAAAAAACTTAAAAAAAAATACAAACACAAAATATTTACTAAAATTTAAAAGCATTTTTAAGAGTTATACATCAAATAAAACAAAACAAACAACAACAAAAAATGAAGATACAACAACGTCAAAGAAGAAGGTGAAGAACATGTGAATGGATGCAATTTCGAAAGAAATTGTAAAATGAGAATAAAAAGTAAAAACAATGAGAAAAACAAAACACGAAGAAAATAAATAAGTACACAGAACGAAGTCAAATGATATCCATTAGAATTACGATGGGACAATTTTCCAATGTGGCGAATAATTTAAAGTAAGGAACAGAGAACAGAAGTTGAGATAGAGATAGAATGCGACAGAATGAAAAAAAAAAGAAGAGAGAAACGATTATTGGAAACAAAAAAAAAACATAAATAATAACAAATTTAGTGCAAGCATTATTTATAAATTATTATATTAAAAATGAAATTGTATGTAAAAAAAGCAAAAAAATACAGAAAATGAATACAAAATTGGAGTTTTTCATTTAATTAAGCGCGAAGCACGTTTTTCCTTTTGGATTGCACATAGAATTTCTTTCGTGTGTCGGCATTCAATGTGGCAAAATAATTTTTTTTTTTTTCAAGACTATTTTCGATTGAAATGCGCTTGCTTCCATTTGGGCAATACACATTTTTTTTTTCATGTAAATGTTTTCGATTTCTAATGGCTTCACAGCACTATCACGTGGCTCAATCCAATGTAAACCAACAAAAAAAAGTCTTTGTCTTTTTCCTCGAAAAATATAATTTGATTTTTCATTGTTCGATTGTTTTTTTTCCTTGATATTGAAACCATGGTTGCTCATGCATGAGCAATTGAGCATGCTGCCACTTGCATTTGGATCGACGTGTGAATGTGGATTTCATGATTTCTTGTAATATTATCTTGAGAAGTTGATGTCAGTACAATAATTGCTATGA